AATGCGGAGCACACGTCTCTTGCAGCCTGGCGGTAGTCAATCGCCCGTGCCCTTGAGCAGCCACCTCTCCGTCCACTGCCGCGCTGCCCTCCTCCCGGCGCGGGAGTGCAGTGGGACGCTGTCGGGGGAGAGTCCGTGGCACAGGCCACGCGGGCTACCCGGCCGGCGCTGTCACAGCCTTCTTAGCAAATTAGCGCCCCGTTTGCCTTCTCTCCCATCCCTTCGGCACTTTGTGTAACACCTATGGCAGTCTTTGCCTTTTCTGAGTAAAATAACGTTTCTTTCACAGAAGAAGGGTAACGGAAAAAGAGGCCCTTAAGAGGAATCTTACCGGCTTGCAGACTCCAAAACTGTGTGGCAGAAGTAGAGGGCTTGTTTTTGCTGGTTTTAAGAATTCTGTTACCAGAAAACTCCTGTCTCTCAGCTGGCTCCAGCAGCCCGGTTGACAGTGGCTGAGGCCAGTTTCTAACCATTAGGCCTGAGGTGGGCCAGGCGGCTCTGGGAGAGGGGCCAGCGTGGGGGCGGGTCGTCGCCGAGAACGTGGCTGAGTTGGATGAACCCAGACAGCAGCAGGGGAAGGGAGAGGTATTAAGTCCTCATAAAACGTTTAGTCTCTTACGTATGTGTCTTCTTTTTCTTCTATTTTTTGGGACATGTACGTCTAAACCTGTGATTGTGGCCAAATCATTTTAATCTCTCTGTGCCTGCATTTCCTCGAATGTAAACGAGGATGATAAAAAGCACCTGCCTAGAATTGTTATCAAGATTACATGAACAGTTTGTGATACATAAGTAGTATCTAAATATTTGTTGTCATTATTTCTTTTTCTCCATATCTCCCTGGGATGGGTCTGCTCTCTTGATTGCTTTGTTTATACAGTGATATATTCATGATTTCATGTGTTTAATTTTTTTCCAGGTCCCAGCTCTTGCATGCATTTAAGAAGTAATCTATCAAGAAATACCAGCCCCGGGAGCAAAGGGAGAACCACTGTCCCTCCAGCTCCTACCCAGGAATACACCATTGAAATATCAACTACAGGGACTCTTTACCCCGCAGGAGGGTAGTAAGTGTTAAACTTTGACATTCTGTGGTCTTCTGAAGGCTCTAGAAGTAAGGGACCTCGGGAGAAATTTTTTTTTTTTTTTAACTTATATAACAAGATCAGGGTAAGGGTGTTGTTATGAATTCAGAATCTGATTCAAAGTGAGGGTGGAGCAAGAGGGCACCCAGTGCACTGCTGCCATTTCCACAGTATGTTATTGTTCGAGAGTTCCATGTTTACTGCCTGTTGTCTGAGACATAAGTTGTGTATGTGTGCTCCATTTTTTACTTACCTTTGACTGCTTGTGGTGGTTTGTTTGTTTTTTTATCTTGCAGGAATTTTGATTCTCTGTATGGACCCCCAATGTATCAATCTTTTCATTCATTGCCTCTGGATTTGGGTTCATAATTAGAAAGGCTTTCTTATACTGAGGGTTTAAAAGACCTCCCACATTTTACCTCCCACATTTTCCTCTGGTACTTTTTATAGTTTACATTTTAACACAACTTCAATTTATTTGGAATATTTGCCTGAGTATAGACCAAGGAAGAAATCCAGTTTAACATTTTTCCAGATGATTACCTAGTTCTCACCATACATTTATTGAGGAGTCTCCTCATCTTTTTCTTACTGATTTAGTACCTTTATTCTATGCTAAGTTTCTCCCTCTGAGTGCATCTATTTCTGGACTTTCTATTCTGTACCATTTGTGTGTCTCCCTCACAGTAGGACACTGTACCACTGAGACTTTATAATCTGTTAAAGATCATTTAGAACAAGTGCTCCTTCATTACCCTCCTTTTTCAGTTTTCCCAGAGTCTTGCTTGTTTACTTATCTGTGTGAGTGTTAAAATCTACTTCTAAAAAAGTTTGTATTTTTATTGGAATAGTGTTAAATTTACAAATTAAGAAGTAATTTCTGAGTGCTAAGTGGAAGGATTTGGGAGTGCATAGATCTAGGTTCAGATTTCCTCTCTGCTGTGTGGTTACTTGTCCAACCTCGAAAAATCTGTCTCCTTTTCAGTTTTCATATATGTGAGAGAAGGACTGTAACGTCATCTTTGCGGGAGTAAAGGAGATAGGTATACAATGCCTTGTTTGAAGTCAACAGAACCCCGTCCGGTGCCCGGCTCAGGAACCACCGAGAGGGAACCTGCGGGGCCCTAGAGCGGCCCGTCCGGTGCGCGGCGCGGGTGTCTCTGTTCCCGCCCCGACGTCCGTGCTCCCAGAGCCTGGAAGGTGCAGGTGGCGCGTCGTCTCGTCCTTGCTCTCGGGTTTTGGGTGCGCCCTGAGGCAGCCCCGTTGGCTCAGCCGCGTGTCCTTTGCCGCCTCCGCCCGCTCCTCCTCGGCTCGGGGAAGGGGGGGTGCGCGTCCCGGCGACGTCCCCACGCCCCCGGCCGCCGCTCCTCTGGGGCAGCCGACCCTGCTTGCCCCTCTCACGGGGCTGAATTGAGGGTGCGGGGGGGGGGTGTCCTCAGGGGCCGTCCAGTGCGTGACAGCCCTCATAGCCGAGGGGCACTTGGCAGTTCTCTTGAGGTGTTCTTGAAAACTCTTTTTGCCTCAAAGAAAAAAGTTAGCTGAAACGCCTTTCTTTCGCATTTTTGGTGCATTTTCCCTCGCCCCGCGCGGCCCCTTTCTTCCGTTGAAAAGATGAGCGCAAACGCCTCTCCTTCTCGATAGCTTTTCTTCGGAGCTAAAAATGTTAACCCAAAGCTATCTGGTAACGGAAGGGTATTTGACACACATCTTTAGCTTAAGGTCATTTATTCAGAGAAAAAAATATGTTTGTGCTTTGTAGTTGCCTGAAGTGTCCGCAGTTTGGAGCTGGGAGGGGAAGAGGAGGCACCTGGCGGCGGGGCCGGGAGCCGGTAACTCCGGTGTGAGAAGCGGCAGGCCCCCGGGGCTGTGGGGAGGACCAGGGGTTCTGCACGTTTTGCTGATGATAGCAGCTTAGCCACGTGCCTCCCCGGTACCATGTCTTCCGGATTCTGGGCCAGAGTCCGAGTGTGTGAGCCCGACAGCAGCGAGGCCTTTGTCCGGGTTGCCCGGAAGCCGCTGTTCAGGGGACGTGACCCGGCAGCGTCACTGAGAAACGGTTCAGCCCCTACGCCGCGGAGGGCGGGGTGCGTGCGCCACACTTGTGGGGAAACCTCCCTACCCGCCCACGACGGGAAGGCAGCCAGACGCTTAAAAAATACTCGTTTGCGTAAAGAAACATTCGGAGACACAACCAACGAGTAAAAGTGCTTCCTTCCGGGGGTGGGAATCAGGAGGGTCATGGTGGAAATAAGACTTCCTGTTTGTCTTTTTAGAGAATTTTGACTTTTCAGTTGTATATTACCTATTCAAAAACAGACTCATTTTTTAATTTTTATTTTTTAACTCTTATTTAAATTCCAGCTAATTAACATACAGTGTTATAATTTGATACTCATCATGACAAATGCACTCTTTAATCCCCATCACCTATTTAACCCATTCCCCACGCCCCTCCTCTCTGGGTTCTTTGTAATTAAGGGTCTGTTTCTCGATTTGTCTCTTTCTCTTTTTTTCCCTTTGTTTTATTTCTTAACTTCCACCTATGAGTGAAATCCTATGGTATTTGTATTTCTGTAACTTACTTCACTTAGCATAGTACACTCTAGCTCCATCCCTGTCTTTACAAATGGCAAGATTTTGTTCTTTTTCTAGCTGAGTAATATTCCATTGTGTATATATGCACACACCATTTCTTCTTTACCCATTCATCAGTCAACGGATATTTGGGCTCCATAGTTTGGCTATTGTAGATAATGCTGCCATAAACATCAGGGTGCATGTATCTCTTTGACTCGGTGTTTTTATATTCCCCAGGTAAATACATAGTGCAATTGCTGGATCATAGGGTAACTCTGTTTTTAACTTTCTGAGGAACTACCATACTGTTTTCCAGAGTGGCTGCACCAGCTTGCATTCCCACCAACAGTGTAGGAGGGTTCCCCTTTCTCCATATCCTCATTAACATTTCTTGTTTCCTGACTTGTTAATTTTAGCCATTCTGACTGGTGTGAGGTGGTATCTCACCGTGGTTTTGATTTGAGTTTCCCTGATGATGAGTGATATTGAGCATCTTTTTTTTTTTTTAAGATTTATTTGTTTATTTTAGAGTGACAGCACAAGCAGGAGGGGCAGAGGGAGACGGAGCGAGAACTTAAGCAGACTCCACGTTGAGCAAGGAGCCTGACCCGGAGCTCAATCTCATGATACTGAGATCAGGACCTGAACCAAAACCAAGAGTCAGACGCTTAACTGACTGCGCCACCCAGGAGCCCCTTGAGCATCTTTTCATGTGTCTGTTGGCCACATGTGTTTGTTTTTTTTTTAAGTTTTAATTTTTTAAGATTTTATGAAGAGAGCAGGAGCTGGTGGGGAGGCAAAGGGGGAGGGAGAAGCAGGCTCCCCAGTGAGCAGGGAGCCTGATGTGGGTCTTAATCCCAGGACCCTGGGATCATGACCTGAGCCAAAGGCAGATGCTTAACTGACTGAGCCACCCAGGTGCCCCATAGACAAATTTTTTAAAGTTGTTTTTTTTTTTTAATTTTTTTTAAAGATTTTATTTATTCATCAGAGAGAGTGTATAAGCAGGGGGAGAGGCAGAGGGAGAAGCAGGCTCCCCGCTGAGCAAGGAACCCGATGTGGGGCTCGATCCCAGGATCCTGGGATCATGGCCTGAGCTGAAGGCAGACGCCCAACTGACTGAGCCACCCAGGCGTCCCTGAAGTTTATTTTATTTTTTAAAAGATCTTACTTATTTGAGAGAGCACAAGGAGTGGGGAGAGGGAGAAGCAGGCTGCCCCCTCAGCCAGGAGCCCGACATGGGCCCAAGCTGAAGGCAGACACTAACCCACTTAGCCATCCAGGTGCCCCTTAAGTTTATTTAAAGTAATCTCTACACCCAACATGACCCCAAGATCAAGAGTCGCATGCTCTTGTGACTGAGCCAGCCAGGCTCCTGGCATAGACAGATTTTTAAATAAAATTTTTAGAATAGTTTCTGGGTACTCTGGACATTTTAGAGTTATAGAAAGATTTTGAAGATAGTACAGAGAGTTCCTATATACCCCACACCCAGTTTCCCGTATTAATACCTTACATTAGTTTAATATACTTATAAATACTGAATTACTGTTGATTATTATTAAAATCCATACTTTATTCATATTTTCCTCATTTTTATCTAATGTCCTTTTTCTGTTCCAGGATCCCATGTAGGATAGCGTATTACTTTTAATTGTCACATCTCCTTAGGCTCCTCTTGGGTGTGATGGTTTCTCAGACTTCACTTGTCTTTGAGGACCTTGACAGTTTTGAGGAGTCCGGTTTTTTTGTAGAATGCCACTCATTTGGGATTTGACCGATGTTTTTCTCATTATTATACTGCCATTAAAGGTTTTGGGGAGGAAGACCTCAAAGATGAAGTGCCATTCTCATCATATCAAGGGTACATACGGTCCACTTGCTACTGCTGAGACATAAAACAATTTGTAAAATGAAAGAGGCAGAGAGGAGATAATTTATGTAATTTGAGTTTGCGGCAGAAGTTTTATCAAGTTTGGAGACAATTGGGTTTGTTCCCAGGGGTAAGAGAGAGGTCACAATCCACCAAGCTTCTGCATGTTGGTCTGAACTGTAAATATGGAACGGGCCAAAGGAGCCCCGTTCTTTGGAGAGGTGAGGGGTCTGTTGTGTCACAGTTCCACGGGAGACAGAGCATCCCTGCTGGCCAGGTGTTGTCCTGCCCCATCAGCTACAGCCGTGGTGTAGCAGGTGGAGCTGCTTTTACCCCCGGTTTCTCTGACAGCCTGCATAGTTGGACTTCCGTGAGTGGTAAAAACACAGCTGTCAGCGATGTTACCAACTTATTATCTGTTGGATTTCTGCTGCTTTTGCTTTCTCTATCCTTCATCTGCTCTACTGTCTACAGATCTCTTCAGTTCCTGTCTTGTGTCCCAATTTAGTTAAATATGATAAAAAGTCTGTCTAAGTAGGAACTATGTATTATTTTTATATTCACTTATATTTCAGATTCTGTGCTTTAGATACCTTTATGAAGGGTAAATTTTAAATAGTTTGAGTCAGATGTTCATTCTGTTAGTTTTGTGATATGTTACGGTATAGAGACTAAATAAAACATTTGATCTGGCTGTCATACAAGTGGTGTGTCCTGGGTTTATCAAACATGTTTGAGAGTTCTAGTTAAGTCTGTATCCTGCCCTGTTGCTTTAGCAGCAGGGAATAAATTACAGTTGAAAGTTTGTTCGTTATTATTTCAGGAATCAAGGCCAGAGGTATGAATAAGGTGGCGATTCTGAAGGGAAGATTTTTGTAAGGATGGACCCACACCAGCAGATTGCCAGCATATATAAGAGGGATACATTTCAGATTCCCAAGTATGAAAAAACCTCTCAGTATATGAACCAGGTACAAAGGCCTGAGGACAGGCCCACAGACGAAAGACGGTATACATGTAGTGAATGTGGAAAGAAGTTTGCTCAGAGCTCAGGCCTTGTTCGACATCGGAGAATCCACACTGGAGAGAAACCCTATGAGTGTCATCACTGCGGAAAAGCCTTCAGTGTGCGCTCAACCCTCACTGTGCATGAAAGAATCCACACTGGTGAGAAGCCCTATACTTGTAATGAATGTAGGAAAGGCTTCAGTGTGAGGGCACACCTGATCATCCATCAGAGAATCCACAATGGAGAGAAACCCTATGAGTGTAATGAATGTGGCAAAGCCTTTAGCGTGAGCTCAGACCTTATCAAACATCAGAGAATACACTCTGGTGAAAAGCCCTATGAGTGTGACAAGTGTGGGAAAGCCTTCAGCGTGAGCTCAGCCCTCATCAAACATCAGAGAATCCACACAGGAGAGAAGCCGTATGAGTGTAAGGAGTGTGGGAAGGCCTTCTACGTGAACTCCGCCCTTATTAATCATCAGAGGATTCACTCTGGAGAAAAGCCCTATGAGTGTGGAGAATGCAGGAAAGCATTCAGCCAAATCTCCACCCTTATCCATCACCAGAGAATCCACACTGGAGAGAAACCGTATGAGTGTGATGAGTGTGGGAAAGCTTTCCGTGGGAGTTCAAATCTTACCAAACACCAGAAAATACATGCCAAAGGAAAGTGTCTTCAGTGATTTATGTGGTGAAGATATTCCAAAGGCCTTTTTTGTATCAGAAGTTAACACCAAAAGAAGGGTATGGTAAAAGTTAGTGTTTTAATTGATACTTGGTCCCTTAGAATATTGAAGAAGTGAGAAGTCAATGAAAATGACTCCAGAATGGTGACTAGTTAAAGTTCTAAAATCACATCTACTGAGAATGCCACTTTACAACTCATAAGGTAAAGCCATTTAAATATATACTATAATGTAGTTTGTTTTGGTTTAGTAAGAGCAAACGTCAGTAATTCAAGCATTGTTTTTATTTTTCTCATGTACAAGCCTTTTGTTTTTGCTGCCAGTATTATGGGTGAAACCTATTAAGTTTTGAAATCAGAAGTAGTGTTGATTGGTGGGACAGGAACCACATATTCTCATTGTTTCTGGAAATACTAACCAATTGGTTTTCCTTTTTTTGCCTTGGATGTACCTCTGTTCTCTCAGGAGTGATTAGATAGTTGGGTTAGTAACTTCCTTGGCAGAGGGTACACTGCCTCTTTTTAGGTAGGAATCCAGTAGGTAATTCTTCAGGGTCATTCTTGCTTTGCCAACAAAATCCCAGGCATTTTGACTTACTGATCCAAAAAACCCCTACACTTGACGGAGCTTTCTGAACTAAAAACAAAAACAAAAAGCCTTTCTAAAAGCTTCAGGTGCTCCAAACCCTTGCATTTGGTGTTTCTCAAAGTGCAGTGTGGCATCTGCAGATTCAAGAGGGTATGAGGATGGGACTAACTTGGAAACTGTTGAGTTGGCATTGGTTTTAGGATGACTTTCAAGGATCTATTTGAGTGACTCCTTGAAGCTTGATGCCTCGTATCAACCAAGAGTGTGGTAGATTCGAGAAGTGGTAGAAAGTTATTGAGTTTACTTTGGAAAATGTCTTTTTTATGTCTGTGGAAATCCCAGAAGAGCTGTTCATCAAACTATACCCTAGCTTTCTAACCCCATCCCCAGGCCTAAAACCCAGAAGTTATATATGCACATATGAAACTCAGGAAAGAGATCTGGACTTTAAAATTACTTTGTTACTATTTTTTTATATTAATAGTGATTTCTAACTCCTGGGTAACAGGCCTGAAATTCTTTTGGTCCCTGAAACTAAATCCCTCGAGGTTGAAGATGAATACCAAATTGATGGAAAATGCAGATTGATTTGGTCCACAGTGTGGATAGGCAGAAGGAAACATTCTCTGGGAAGGTGAAATGATGTTCACTCCTCAGAGTAGGATGACTCTGTGTTGTAAAGGGATGCACAGTTCCCAGGATTTCTCACTTCAGTCCAGTCAGCCCATAGATACACTGGGGTCCATGAAGCTTTGCACCAACTTGTGCCATCAATCACTGAGGTCCAAGATGCATGTGGAAAAGCACATCACAAAGTCTCTGGTATTGAGATAGTGCTTAACCCCTCTGCCCGGGTAACTGTAGACATGGACATGGGGGCTGAACACAGAAGGTCATGGTTATGGCGCTCAAATTGAGGAAACAGGACCTCACCTGGGGCATGGGGCATGCTAGAGAGAGTGAGGCACATACCTAAAGGCAGAAATTGAGGGCCTCAGCAAAACTCTAGGAAATTGTCTTTGCTATGCTGGATTGAAAGTGTGAATTCCTTTGCCCTGCTTCTTTCTGCCTTTTGACAGTTGAAGGAGACTGGTTGCTCCTTGCTCTGCCCTAGAGAGAGTTCCCTGCCACCCTGTTTCTGTATTGTTATCATTAGTGTTTTTAGTGTTTACCTCTTTGGCCCCAAATGTCTTGGTTTGTCCCTAGGGTGGAGGTTTGCAGACAGACTCTTCAGGGATCAGCACTGAAGAGATGCTATATCCCACCCCAAACCAGCACAGCTGAATCCTAAGCAATAAGTGGTGAGTATTCTGAAGACTTTGAAGGAGCAGATATTCTGGAGAAAAAAAAAAATTTCTTTTACTGAAGAATATAGTGTTAGGAGATCAGGATGCATGTAACATGGTTATTTCTTGTGAGCTCAAATTAAGGTGTTAATGATCATCTGTTGTGGGTTGGGCCTTGTGCCAGGCACTAGGAATACAAAGATAAATGAAAAAATCACCCTGCTGTCCCAGGGCTTACAGTCGGTTTGGGGACAGGGGGAAGGGAGCAGATAGGAAACAGTAATTACAGTGATAAAGCCACTAGGTTTGTACAGAGGGCTTGGCACTGAAGGTGTAACAACCACTGGTGGAAGGGTTGAAAAGTCCTCAGAGAAGGGAAGAAATCTTAGAGGAAGAGTGAGTTCTTCAGCCACAGGAAAAGGGACAGGAAGATACATTGGGAATCACATGCTAAAAGGTACGTGTGTGTGGGCACCTGCGTGGCTCAGTCGGTTGAGCGTCTGCCTTCAGCTCGGGTCATAATCCTGGGGCCCTGGGATCGAGCCCCGCACAGGGCTCCCTGCTCAGTGGGGAGTCTGCTTCTCCCTCTCCCTCTGCTCCTACCCCCGCTTATGCGGTCTCTCTCTCTCTCAAATAAATAAATAAAATCTTAAAAAAAAAAAGGTATGTGGGGGGAAATGAGGGAGGTTTTCACTGATTATAGAATACAGTAGGGAAATAGTGACAGATCACACTGAAGACAGCTGGGGGCCAGACTGTGAGATTCCTTGTTATCTATGCTTGAAAGTGTGAAACATCCTCTCTGGGCTAGTGTTGAAATGTAGTGAGAAGTGCATTTTACCTTGTAACTCTATGCCATTGTTGGGAGGAGACAGCCCTTGTTGGGCCTCTTGCACTCCTGCATGTCCTGCTGGCTAGCACGGCAGGACCCTGGCCACACTCTTACCCAGGCCGCTTGTTCGTATTGTTTATGCCCCTGCTAGCCTTGAGAGATGAGGTCATCTCTCTTGGACAAAAAGTAGATAAGCTCACTGTGTGCTTATTGGTTGGTTGGTGTTCTTTATGGAAAATTCATGGATAGATGCCTATACATGTTGTAGGAATTATTTACATATTCTTAATGAGAGTCCCTTTCACAGAAAATACAAATACCCTTTTCAACTCTATGGCTTGCCTTTTAATTTTCTTAATAATGATGCCTTTTGATGAGCATTAGTTTTTTAAATTTATTAGTCCAGTTTATCTTTTTCTTTGTATCTTTTTGTTTGGTGTATCTTTTGAAGAATTCTTTCTCTGCTTGCGATCATGAGGCTGATCTATATTTACTCCTTAAAAGTCTTACAGTTTTGGGGCACCTGGGTGGCTCAGCTGATTAAGCGTCTGCCTTCAGCTCAGGTCATGATCTCAGGGTCCTGGGATCGAGCCCCATGTAGGGCTCCCTGCTCAATGGGGAGTCTGCTTCTCCCTCTACCTCTGCCTCTCCCCCCTACTCATGCTCTCTCTCACTCTCTTGCTCTCAAATAAATAAAATCTTTAAAAAAAAAAAAAAAGTCTTAGTTTTGCTTTTCCATTTATATCTATAACCCATTTAAAATTGATTTAAAAAAATTTTTAATTCATTGTAGTTAACATGCAGTGTTCTATTTGTTCCAGATGTACAATATAGTGATTTGGCTGAAATTGATTTTATGTATGAATGAGGTAGTTAAATTTCATTCTTTTCCCATGTGAATATCCAGTTTATCTTGCATCACTTATAGGAAAGACTCTCTTTTTCCCCCACTGTTGTACAGTGCTCGTTTGTCATATATCAATAGTCCATATATGCGTAGATCTGTTTCTGGTTTCCCTGTTATGTTCCATTGGTTTATTTGCCTTTCCTTGCATGAATACCACTTTTTCCTAATTATTGTACCTTTACATTATGTTTAGGTATTCAGTGGAACAAATCATCTTACCTGAGGAGTCTAGCTTCATTTCTGTGTGTGATTTTTTAGACCTGATTATAGGCAATTATAAATGCTTTACCCCTCGTAAGGGGAAAGCTGCCCTCCCACACTAGTCTTTGAGGCACAGCTAATGCATGCAGTCTGAGTTGCACGCAAGGATTCAAGACTGCCTGGACAGTAGTGCTCTTAGACATCTCTGTCTAGCCCAGGCACCTCCATCTGGAGGCCTATCACTGGGGGCCTTGCCTAAGCAACTCTGCCAAGACTCCCTTATTGGGGTAAAGGGAACTTGAAGACACTTTTCCCTACTCGGACTCAGTAGTCAGTACTTTTCCATTCCCAGCCTTTTCCCCTCTTCTTCCTCCTGGCCCCCAGGTCCATAAAATGACTGGACCCTTTTGTTTAGTGCTCTCTTGGCAGTGAGACAGTCCCCACACCTGTGCTGATTCACCTAACCCTCGCCTGGCACTGTTCATGGATTAAGAAGGGAACACTGCAGCTGCCAGCACTTTGTCTTGTGGAGCGTCTTGCTAACACCAGTGCAGTAAGTCATGAAAGGCTTAGCTGTTACTTTCCTGTTTGCCTGTGTTAACTGACCACTGCGACACCTGGCAGCTGGTGCGCCGAAGTGCTGTGAAATGGTACAAGTTGACTTAGGCTACTTATGACCAACTAGATTTGTATTATGTTACCAAAACTGCCTCCCCACCCTGCCCTGTTACTGCCCCAAATCTCAGTTACTTACAGTACAAAACATTTTCTTGTTTATGTTGTGTGTCAGCTATGGGTCAGTTGCAGCTCTGCAATACATTCTCTCCACTCCGGGATCCAGGCTTAAGGAGGGAAAGAAAAACAATGGTAGGGCCACACAATGGCTTCTACAGCATATACTCAGGAGGAGTGTATGTTGTTTCCACTTATAGTTCATTAGCCAAAGCAGGTCAAATGACCAAGCTTCTTAACTATATGGTGGGGGAAAAAGATCCTTACAAAGATGGCAATAAGTAACTAAGAAAATCTTCCATGGAGATAGTATATCTACCATGATGGCCAATATTTATGGAATACTTTCTATGCCAGGGCTTTTTCTGAGTGCCTTATATGTATTTTTTTCTCAATAAAAAACAATGATATGAGATACATACTACTATACTCCCATTTCACAGCTGAAGAAATGGAGGAACAGTGACATTAAAAACTTGGTCATTCAGCTAGGCAATGATCGAACCAGGAATTGAAACTGGAAGTCTAACCTGACAATCTGTTCTCTTAACTACTAACTGTAAAATGAGAGTTTTAATATGAAGGTTGTTTATGTACCACATTGGGCTCTAAGAGCCAGTGTCTTACACTGGTAAAAACTTTAAAGGTGAGATCCAAGAGCCCCGTGAGATCTAAGAGCCCTTGGTCTCAACCTGTTTTTAACCTCTAAGTAACTGTATTATACTAGACAAACACCACCTAGCTAGGCCTCAGTTTCTATATATAAAGGAGACAGGCTAAATAGTCTCTGATATCCCTTCCAGCTTTGAGACTTCTATAATCTCTCCAGAGAGAAAGTAAAATGCTTTGTTGATGTGATGGCCTCTCTAATCTGCTTTATATGTTGTTATGTTCACAGGGGGTCTTGAATAAGTGTTGCGTCTCCTTCCCAGTCCCTTCCTCCTATTTTACTTCTCCTGTTTTACATTAGTGATATCATACTAACAGTAATAGCTTCCATTTATTGAGACCTAGTCTGTGCCAGGTACTTTTTTAAGCTTCTTAGGTTAATTATTTCATTTAAAAAATATAGATGCTATATTTAGAAAAGAACAAAAGCTGAAGAAAATGCTGTAAACATCCATTTTTGAGAACTTTTAAAAAAGCACAGGAAAGGGGCTCCTGGCTGGCTCAGAGGAGCATGCGACCCTTGATCTTGGGGTCATGAGTTCTACCCCCATCTTGGGTGTAGAGATTACTTTAAAAAATTAAAAAAAAAAAAAAGAACAGGAAAATAACCCAAAGAAAGGAAAAAGAAGAAAATACTAAAGAGTAGAAATTAATGAAAAAGCAAGTATATACTCTTATTTAGAACTTCCACATATAAAAAGCCATGTTTTAGGTGATTTCTCTCTGTAGGCTGCTCTCATTTGTTACATTTGACTTCGTTCTGCCTCTAGGGAAAAAGATGCTAATTTCATGATCAACCGGTTCTTTCAGATGGTGACTCCTGGCCCTAAACAAGGAGTCCATTTCAAAGCAGAGTTTTGCAGAATTCCACCGCCAAGTGAGGGAGAAGCCCCTTGAGGAATCAGCTTACGGTGCTTCAAGCCAAGCCAGAGTATCTCTCTGATAAAGGGACCTAAGACACTTGGGAGAATTTGCCCTGGAATTCACTTCTGTCACTGCTCTGGGAGTGGGAAATATTCCCTTACCTTGTGTACAATTTCTACTTGTAATAAACTAATAAAAGAAGCAGCTGCTCAGTCTAAAATGAGTGATCTAAAAATATCTCTCCCTAATAAACCATGGAACACCAGTGGTCCTGACTAAGCACCAGCATGTCCAGACTTGAGGAAATCCTATGAGTATTCTCAGCCTGAAAAGACCTTCAGTGTAAACCTAAGGCCCATTACACTACACAACAGAGAAGCCATTCCTGAAGAAGAGTCCCACCAGAGTAAAGAATGTGGCAAAGCCTTCAGATACTGGACTGGTCTTGTCAGATAGCAGAGAACTGTTGGGGATATCTTCAGTGTCATAAACATTCCATGTGAGCTCAAGTCTCATTAAACATAGATTCCCTTTGGATAGGAGCAAGTAGGGAGGTCTTCATTTGGAAGCAGTGCTTATTACCAGAAAACCCATAAATATAAAAAAAGTGGGAAGGCCTTCACTAAAATCAGTCTTCTGTATCGGTAAATCCACATTGCAGCAAAACCCTGTATGTGTGACTGCTTTGGGGACACTTTCAGCATTACCTCAATTCTTAAAGTGTATTAAAGATTCCATACAGAGAAAAGCTCTTTGAGTGTAAGTGATTTGGAAAAGCCTCCAGTCAAAGTTCAGATCTTACCAAACATCAGTCTGCATTGGAGAGGAGCCTTATTCCTGGGACAGGTGTGGGAAAACCTTTCAATGAACTCATCTCTTACCCGACATCAGAGGATACAGAACAAATAAAAACCTCAATTGTGAAATAATGTGGTAAAGGTACAGGACTTTTTCAACATAAAGCATCACCATTAAGAAAAAACTCAATTGGGGCACCTGGCTGTCTCTATTGGAAAAGCATTTGATTCTTGATCTCAGGGTCGTGAGTTCGAGTCCCACATTGGGTATAGAGATTACTAAAAAAAAAAAAAAATTGCATCAATCATTTTAGCATTATTTTATGGAATTACAGATAAGTGCTATTAGAGACTGTCAGGTCACTTCATGGGCAAAGTTGAAACATATCTATGACAGATCTCCATGGGATTTAACTGTCTTTGTCACAGCTTTCATTTTCTGTAGTAAAGGTAGAGAATAGGGAGAAGTCTTTATAACTATTCACAACCTTTGGTGATTGAAACATTATTTATTACATTTATTTTCAGTTTGGAATTTATGATGCTAATTAAAATAGTTTTTCTACAAATGATTTTGACATTGATTCCTCTGATGCATCAAGTATACCATTTGTACCAGACTTATTCCCTTTCATTTTTATAGTGTTCATAGATCTAGGAAATGCTGCAAATATCTGTGGTTAGGTAAATCGTTTCACAGAATTTCCTACCCCTTTGGGAAGAAAAAAGAGAAGTGTGGGTGGGCCACGTGAACTTATTTGCTAAATAATGGACTATATTTACCTCGTTTGCTTTTGCATGTCTAATATATGGAATAGTGACCGATACGGAGAAGGCTTGGAACATATGCTCCTTGAAGGACGCCTTGAAGTGGGTGGTTATCAAGTCAACCTGAAGAGGGAGCTCTAATAGTTGGTCATAGGATCTGCCCCCTTCCCAGGCCTGGTCCACAGATAAGCTTGGGTACTCATTATGGATTTGTTATGAACTCAGTTCGTGGTGCATCATAATCATTGGTCTGTGTATGGCCTTTCGTTTTTATACATTTTACTTTTATCTCTACTCACATTCCAATCCCATTTCTCCCAGTTTCCTCCACTCACCCTTATTTAAAAAACTGGTGTGTTCTATTTCATTCTGTGGCCATTCTGCTTTTTGAAATCACTTAATTATGAATTCATTAATTACTATATGCAGATCTAATCCTTTAACTGCTCTGTAGTGCTTACTTAGTCATTTGTTCATTCTTTTAATGAAAGCTATTTAGGGTTTTAACCAACTTCGGCTCTGAACACCTTTGGGGGTGTTTTTTCTGGGAAACAGGAGTGAAATTGCTGGGCCACAGGTTATGCACAGTGTAAATCTCACTAGCATGTATTGATTCCTGTTCCTTGTGAACTAAGGGACTTATCTGGCATCTTAATCTGATCGTGATATCACCTTTTCCACATGGGTTTTCAAGAGCTGCAGACTTCCAAACCAGGTAGGCACCTTCTCATCTGGTGGCAGCTTGGGCTGAGGCAGATTTCCAAAATAGGAATAAAATGAAATTTCAACTTCAAAAATAATACCTGACTTCTCAGGATCTGGTGATGCAAAACTTGATTCTGCTACTTAAAATACAGTGTAATCAAAAGAGCTACATACCAGACCATGCTATGGGCAAAGGGGAAATAAAATCTTTTCTATCTAAGAACATCCCAGAAAGGGAGTGTAGGAGATGCAAAGGTGCTGACATATTGGAGGAACAGCTCGGCTGATAAGAACAAGAAGAAACATGGGCAGAGATAAAGAGAGGGCCTATAGCAATGAACTTGTAGGCCAATTTATAGACTTTGGTTTTTACCCTGAGTGAATTGGAAGGCTTATTGCAGGATTTTGAGCAAAGATGTGGCATAATCTGTCTTAGGCTTTGAAAGGATTCCTCTAGCTGCCTTGTGAAGAGTATACAGGGACAAGAGTGGGAACTAGAACAGTTAGGAGCTATCAAGGTAATCTAGGCAGAAACTGTGTCTTTGGACAAAGGTTTAGATAAGCAGAGGTGGTGAGAAGTGATGGATCCTGATTACACATTGAAGATCATGCCACGAGGATTTTGTGAATGGATAAGATCAAGGGAAAGAAGAAACAAGAATGACAAATGGGATTGGACAACTGGAAGAAGGGAGTGGTCTTAGCAGTGATGAGTAATTACCACTTAATTTTTGAACCAATTAAGTTTGGGGTATATATTAGTACCTCCCAGAAATTTTGATGTTTGAGAAAAGAGGAGGAACATTCTCAGCACAGTCTGCCTCTCAGCCCAGATCAATCTTCAGCCACACATGGCTGAGTCCCAGGTGAAAGCCTTTTATCATAGGCAGTTCCCCTCTCCTTCCATCCAGACACTCCTAAAGACCAAGGGCTTAAGAAAGCAGTATTTTCTCACCCACATTTTAGAAAGGACTTAGACTTAAATTGCTGAATGACAGACATCCTGAAGTTGTCTGATTTAAACCTATAGCATGAGATAAACTACCAGCCTCAGAGTTATGGCAGATCAGTTCTAACCTCCAAGTCCATGGTTTCTTAGGAAATATTACCTGTGGTATATTCTTGTCTTTTTGAAGGACATTTAATCAAATTAGTTATATGTAAATGTTCTCTTAAGTTAGAATGTTAAAATAGGAGTTGGAATGGAAATCACCTAACAACTATTCACCCTGCAAAAACATGCACGCAGAATTCTGCTTCCAGTAATGGTGGACAAAGTAATATAGACCTATTCTCCCAACTGAGAAGTGGGAAAGCTGGGCAAAATGCTTTTTTTTTTTTTTTTAACATTGTATTTATTTATTTGAAAGAGTGTCAGAGAGATAGCGAGAGAGAGCACCAGTGCGGGGGGTGGGGGGGGGGAAGCTTAACCGACTGAGTTGTCTGCCTTCAGCTCAGGTCATGGTCCTAGGGTCCTGGGATTGAGCCCCACATCGGGCTCCCTGCTCAGCAGGAGGCCTGCTTCTCCCTCTGCCTGTTCTGCTGGCAGCTCTCCCTGCTTCTGCTCTCTCTGACAAATAAAATCTTAAAAAAAAAAAATCTAAAGACATCAAAGAACTAATTTGAGAGTAAAATTATGGGCAAGAAGATATAGATTGAAGGAGATTATCCCTTCTTTGGGCATCTTGATTCTGCAAGGGGTACCTGAGAGGGTGAGTCATACTTTTGATAGGTTCACAGAGGAAAAAAAAATTGGATTCTGGGTACTGCCAAGGTGGGGGTTAGTGCTGGCAAATGCGCTCACTCTCGTGTGTGGGACCCCTAGAGACTGCACTCAAATTATAACCCCACAGGGGGCTGCTGCTCTGCTCTGAATCTTAATCTATACAGTGGATTTAAGTGATTCCATAGTGCCAGTGCCCTCAGGTACCAAGAAGTCCTCTCTATAAGGACATGATATTCTCTTTGCTCTCAAATTATTTCTACAAGCAATTGTACAAAAACAATTTAAAAAACCAGGCACATGAGAAGAAAAATGACACAAAGAAAATCCAAGAGAAGCAATTGCTAGTAGAAACACATCTGGGAGTCCAGATGGACTGGACAGAGATTTTAAAATGACAATGCATACAATGTTCAAACATGAAAGATAAGATTAAGAATTTTAACAAAAAATGGGGGACAATGAAAAAGAACCATAACAATTCTGAAATTGAAAAACAATAGCCGAAATGGATACATATAACAGATAAAACATAGCTGAAGAAAAAATTAGTGAAGTACATAGTTGAGAAGAAAATATCTTGAATAAAGCATAAAGGGACAGAAAGAATGGTCTACATAGGAAAAGGTTGAGAGAGAAAACAGAGATCCAAAATATTTGTAAGTAAGTTTGAAGGAGACATGAGTAAAAGTGGGGGAAGACAGTATTTAAAGAGATAGTAGGTAAGAACTTCCTAAAATGTAATATCAAACACAGATTCAAGAACCATATGAAACTCAAAAAGGATAAATGAAAATACTATTTATATACATCATAGTAAAACTGCTAAAACTAAAGACAAGTATCTTAAAGGTAGCAAGAGGGAAAAAAAGAATCTTAAAGGAGCAACAATAGCTTATTTCTCAACAAAAGGATTTGAAGCCAGAAGACACTGAAATGACATCTTCAAAGAGCCGAAAGTAAAAAAAAATGCTACATAGATGTCTCTGCTTAGCAAAAAGTTCATTCAAGAATAAAGGTAAAAGACATTTTCAGAACAAACAGAAGCTGAGAGGAGTCATCCTGACAGGCCCTTATAAAGAAAATATTCGAGAAAGTTCTTTAGGCAGAAGGAAAATATTCCTCCTTGAAGGGTTGAAGATGCAGAAGTAATCAAGAACAAGAAAATGGTAACTATGGGTAAAGCTAAACAAGTACTGACTGTATGAAACAAAAATATAATGTCTT